TGGCTTCCCCTACCAAATTTTGGAACTCTAGAAGAGTCAGATGAAATCGTTCAAGCAGGACGCCAGCTGCCTGTAGTGATTCCTTTATCTGCTGCAATGGCTGTGACTGCACTTCATCTACAGCTCAGGTACGGGGAGAAGAGTGACGGATTGGTGATGTGCCGTGATGCTCAAGTTCCAGGTTCGGTTGTGGTCACACCGGACAGGAAGCTTGACCATGCCTGGATGGTTTATTCCACAAGGAAAAAGAATCCTAGTGATGCTGATGCCTCAGAAATGTGTGAGGCCATTTTAACTCTGCTTGTAGAGCTTGGAAAGTTAAAAGTAAGTGGGAAAAAGCTAGGAAATTAATCCATCCATCATACAATTTGTTTGCTTCCCATTTGTTTAATTTGGTTTGTTAAACAAAATATTCAAAAGCAATCAATTGCAGAATCTCATTCGAATGGAAGAATGAATTCATAAGGCCCAAAACAATCTGGCAGGTCCAATTAACAAAAAAAAATCTGCATAGTCCATGAACATGAACAAGACAATAAATTCTAAGAGTCCCTACCCGGAATATATACAAATTTCTCTAACTAAATACCCTTAAATCTTCTTAATTGAAGTAGCAACCAACTAGCCAACTACCCATAAATTCACAATAAAATTTGAACTCTAATTTCTCTCTCATATTATAAGAAGAAAAAGTATGAGTAAAGAAGCAAAGAACCATACCCAAACAACTAGTCTGATTTTTTTTTCTGCATTTTTTACGAACAATGCATGCATGAAGGTGCAACATTAAAAGTCCATGATATGTTGCCATGCCATAAGGCAGAAAAAACCTCGTTAGTAGCAATATATCCTTGCCCTGAAATAATAAAAATGCAGAGCAGGGCCAAATGCCAATTCTGAAACTAAGAGAATCCAAAGACTTTTCTTCTTCTTTTTTTAAGCATGGGTGACACATGGTTTGCATGTGAGTGAGATAGAAGAAGAATACAGCAACGGCATTTATATTTTTGATGGTCAAATTCAAGAAATCATCTGTTGGCTCCACATAAATTTAATGGCTCAAATGTTGGGTCCTGCTCTGCACATTGCACAACTACTTCTCAAACGTGCACTTCAATCCACATCCATGTTATTAAAACTGCTCAAACTAATATCAGATGACCTCTGTTTTCTTTTCTTTTATTTTTTCTGGGCTCTTCAAATGGCTTGCTACTCAATCATTTCAGAGCAATGTTTGTTATTTTCCCCTCTTGCTTTTTGCATCTAGTTTGCATCACGTTTATTTCACGCATACGTCATAGATTTATGTATGTGTCAGTAAAATATACGTGGCCCAAATTAAAAGAAAAAGATAATGAGAAAGAACAAGAAATGAGGTAGCTAGCATTCCTCCTTGTTCACACATAGCTGTAAGTTTCGTTTTCTGGCAATACATGAATGGAGTTAATAGAGACTAGAGTGGATAAAAACTTCTTTCTCTTTTGTATTAAGCGATGGATACCTTTCTGGCATGCAGGTAGGCTGCTTCCAAGGAAATGGCAGCTATTCAAAACATCACACTTTCCAGCAAACTTAAGCCATTGAGCCATTAATGAGGAAATTAATTTTTTTCCCCTAACGCCTAAAAACCCAGAGCAAAATTTTCACTTTCTGCGCTAGAAAATTGACAGCCAAAACACATTTCAGAACCCAACAAAGGGCTGAATACAAAAGTGGCCCTAAACAGGGTCAAAGAGATATTCTTCATCAAAAGGCCAAATGCTTGGTAAAAATCAATACCAAAGCGCAAGAAAAGCAAATATATTGTCCCCTATTTAAACCTAGCTGTACGGATGGCTGAACATATAACATATATAGCATCATTCTCCATTGTTTTTGGCTAAGAAAAATATAGCTGGCTGGCTGGCCATATGATTTTATTAGAAGAAAACTTAGGACATGGGCTTAATTCTTCTCACCCATTTCCCCCACAGTGTTTTGTTTTTTGATACATTCCATGATCTAAACGTTTTGAGCCATGAATTTCCTTGGAAACCAAATTAATTCTGACCTCCTTAAGCTTTTTCAGCAAAAAAACATCTTGATTGGTGGACACTTTGCAGTGGATGGGACGCGGTATGTTTTGCATTACATTATTTAAGGCTTTTGAACCATGCATCAAAAGCAGATTATCAAAATGAGTGGCCATGGAAGCTAGGTACAAACCCTAGGGGACCCAATTGATAAGCACATTCCAATTGCAAAAAGGGGAAGGAAACAAATTTAAACATTTTTGGCAGACCCTGCTTTCGAGTTTGGCCAGCTCAATTCATTTTTTACTGTTTGAACTGGTGCCTTGGAACTTCTTGGATCTCACGGTATTGTTCATCGAAATCAATAATTGATTTGGGTCCCTTGAAGATTAAGATCGTGATTCGATTTTCATCATACTGTATAATTTTGGAGTACAATCCCCTTGGAGCTATGTGGAAATGAAGAACGAACAGTGTAAAAGGGGGCCTCATCTCAGAGCTCTTTAAAGAAGCCTTGGAAAGTCCATGTCTGTTCGTTTTCAAAGGAAGTGGACGCATGAAAGCAAATTCATGAAGCATGCATATGAATAGATAAATTTTAATTACACCGACATTCCCCCGAAAGTTTATCGATCGATTTAAGTCATGCACTTCTTTTGTGAAGGGAACCGAACCTGGAAACTAGTCTGCGATGGCAAAAAGGAGCTAAATGGATCAAAAGTTTGTTGCAGTGTGGTTATTGTCTGAAGTTGTTCTGCAGAATTCACACCAGCTACACAGATAGCTCATGAGACCACAGTGTGCTTCATAAAGGACTGGTCCATTGTTGTTATTGAGTGCACAGATGCTGATAGCACAAAATGAAACTCACCATAGCTGGACTGGACCAGATTATAAGCAATGAGTTGATTTCTTTGGCTTTTTTTGGTTGTAATTTGAGGCCAAATAATTGGACAATCACAAGCTTAATGCAGGTGAAGTAAAAGGCAGTTTTTGTCCTTATTACATTGGATTCATTTCTTCTTTTACAATTAAAAATAATAATTGCATGTCATTAAATTAATAAATTTATCCTTTCTTGGATTAAAAAAGAGAAAACTACTTTAATTACTAGATTATATTATGTTAGGGAAACTGATGGAATCTAAATTAGCTCATTCTTTGCTGGGACCAAAAGTAATAAAAGCCCATGATCTCAATTATGAGTCCTGGCCATCCTAATTTTAAGTAACCCCTTTGGTCTGGGTTGGTTGGTTGATTGATACCTCAAGATGAAAACAAAATATTTAAAAAAAACATGGCAAAGCGAAGTTAAAAAGGACACAGATGATCTGGCTAGAAAAAGATAATGAGACCGTACAACCCTCTCTAGGGTGTACTATAAAATGTATTTTCCTTCTGTTTTTTTGTCATTTTACAAAAACTAAAAATAAAAAATTCTATGGTTCGGGAAATAAATAAGGGAGTTGATTTTTCTACTACGCGTTTGTCCACTTGCACCCCTTTCGTTGGAAATTGCATGTTATAGTAAAAAAGTATTAAAAAGTAAAATAGAGTGTAAGTAGACAAAAGAGAGTAGGAAAATCGGCACTCATAAATAAACCTGAAGTGGTAGGATTGGGAAGCAACTAAGAACATAGTATGAAGTAGCGGTACTTAAGGGGCTTGCAGAGGAGCAGTCTAGCTGTTAAGATTGGCTTTGGAAATGTATGTGGGGTGTGGGGTAAATGCTGGGTTTTAATGAATCAAAGAAAAAGAAAAACATTTTGAAGTCTCTGGGTATTTGGTTGGTTGAAGAAGAAGAGAAGAGAGTGATATTAATATTATTGCTTTGGTGGTGGGTGTAGTGAGCAGATGGAGGGGGGTGATAGGTGAAAATTGGAAGGGGAAGATTTATTGACATAGTGAAGATGGGGTGGTACAGAAGAGAGGCCTAACCAAGCCTAGAATGGAAATCCTAATTGTCCCCAGACGGTTGTGCTGTGCTGTGCTGTGCCGTGTGCCAGCTGTGTTTTGTGACACTTAAGCCCTCAGAATATAACAGCCGTACCATTTCCAATTTGTCACTCCCATTGCTTTCTGGCCCCTTCTGTTTCTACTGCACACCGTGTATTTTCTGCATAATAATACTGCGCACAGTTGGTTTACTTCCAATTTTATTCAATTCTGATGTCCTTTGTTAACACGGTTGATTATTTAATGTATACAGTGACGCTTTAAAAGCTTAGATGTTAGGGTACGAGTATCAGTTTAACCAATTCGATATTGAAAACCTATAATTTAAGCATTTTACTAATTCGGTTCGAACCTAAATGATGATTCTATCTCTTTTTGAACAATCAATTATGTCAATAAATGAAATTTAAATCGAAGAAAATTGAGTATAAGTGAGATTTTTCGATCGAGATTCAAGACGGGAAGTGTATTATAAAATAGATGGTCATGGAGATTTAATGACAACGATGGGTTAAAAGGGGAAAGGCATACCAACCTAGTGTTTGTTTTTTTTTTTTTTTTTTTTTTTTTTTTTTTTTTTTTTATTTTTTTTTTTTTGTTGTGAGTGTGTTGTGGCTTTAAACAAAGAACCCCCACGTTTTCCCTCTCTCTCCTTTGATGATCTCTCTCTGTCTCTCTCCTCTCCTTCCTCTACTAAAACCCCTCTCCTCACTTGCTCTTCTTTCTCAACTCATTTCATTTCCCATTCTTCTCATTTTCTCATTTTCCCACTCTCACACGAAACAAACACGCACACTCTCCAACTCTCTTTTTATTCTCTGATTCTCTCCTCCTCCAACAACAGACTCAGCCATATGCTACACTGCTCTCACACTGTCTCAGACTCACAAAAGCCTGCTCCTTTTTCAAGCTTCATACGCATTCTCTTCTATTTTCAGTAACAGAGAGAAAGCAAAGCTAGAATCTTTTTCCTTTGGGTTGTTTTTAGGCTCCAAAACAACACCAAGGCCTCCTCATCTAAACTCAACAACAATGGCTGACCCGACTAACTCGGAGACCGAGTCAAGCTTCAACTCACCCTCTTCCCCTTCCCCATCCTCATCTGGGTTTTCGCAGTCCTTGCCAAACTCGGCCCAAAACCCATTACCCGGAAGCTCCGACTCGCCCGACCCGGACCAGAAACGGGCCAAGCGAGCTCGAGAAACCAGCAGCAAGCACCCGGTTTACAGAGGGGTCCGAATGCGGACCTGGGGCAAATGGGTATCCGAAATCCGCGAGCCCAGGAAGAAGAATCGGATCTGGCTCGGCACGTTCTCGACTCCGGAGATGGCCGCACGTGCCCACGACGTGGCGGCTTTGTGCATCAAAGGCAACTCGGCGATCCTCAACTTCCCCGGACTCGCCGGGTCGCTGCCCCGACCCGAATCGAACTCGCCCCGAGACATCCAAACCGCGGCTGCCAAAGCCGCTTCCATGGAGATCACGCTAAACGCAGCTCCCCCACCGTCACAGTCATCATCACCAGCATTGTCACAGTCGTCGTCGTCGTCATTATCATCATCATCATCGTCATCCTCATTGGTGGGTCCCACAACAAGTAGTACAACAAGCGGGGACGCGGGAACGCCAGAGGAGCTGAGTGAGATAGTTGAGCTGCCGAGTCTGGGGACGAGTTACGAGTCGGCCGAGTCAGGGAACGAGTTCGTGTTTGTGGACTCGGTGGAGGGGTGGCTGTACCCTCCACCGTGGTGGCACAACAGTTATTTTGAGGAGGAGTATGGGTATAATAGTATTATCAATGATATTAGGGATGATCAAATGTTAATGCCTGAACCACCAGCAGCGGCAGAGTGCTTTGTTGATGCCTTATTGTGGCAACATTAATATCAACTCAACTGTTGCCTCTTCTTGGCTCTCTCTCTCTCTCTCTCTCTCTTCTTCATCCTGTGTGCTTTGCTTCTCTCTCATTTTATTTTATTTTTATTTTTTTTCCTAAGGGATATATACTTTTTCTTGATCCTTTTAGTACTACGCCATTGGTGGTTGCAGTGATTAGTATTGGGGTATTATTTTCTCCACTCCATTGCCAAATTGTCAATGGTCCACAGTCTACAATCTTACACACTAGCTCTCTCTCTCTCTCTCTCTCTCTCTCTCTCAGAGTCACTTTCTGTCCCAAATATTTCTACGTTTTTGAAGAATAATACAATAAATTGTTTTGGAGTTTAGATTATGACTACTTCCCCTTTGATTGAAATCAAAGAGAAGGGGCCTTCAGTTTCCTAGTTGTTTTCCAAGACATTCTTGTAACTAGTAATTTCTTAAACCATTGAATTTATTGTAAGTGTTAATTCATGGCAAAGTGTTATTACCTTAAGGCATTATTTCAGTGACAATTGCTCATGATCTTCGCCATGTGTGCATGTAAGATCTAGTTAGGGAACTTGCTGCAGTGACAATTGCGTTTTAGGCACTATGCTGTAACTGGTTCCCAAAGATGCCTCTGAATCACTGACATGTATTATTAAAAGAGAGATTGGTAATTTATTATCATAAAATATATACATAGACCAAAACACTAGGGTTTCCAAGGGTTGTTAGGATTTTCTTTGTCCTTTTTTCAACTTCCTTAATTGAGACTGAAGATGGTTGTTTGTTGGTGTTCATCTTAGTTACCCTTGTAAGAACAAAGTTCTACCTAGTAAACTATATTGTCCAAGTAAGGTTGTATGCTCCAGTTCTGTTGACATGGTAAAAAAAGAAGATTAAAAAAATCATTTAATTATGAGATTTTCTATCTTACGTTATGTACTTCTAATTATTTGATATAAGCGATATTGAAAGAGGGGAGATTCGAACAGAAACCTACTTCTAAATTCTAATTAGGTAGGCTGATATATAATATGTTGATTTTAACAAAAGTTGCACATACAGCAAAAAGAAGAGAAAATCCTAATAAATCGCCTAATAGTTCCCTGCTGTCCAGCCAGATATGTGACATGAGCTCTTTGATTCCATTGCATATATAGTCCTTTACATCAACACCCCAAACAATAATAAATAAGCCAAATCTGAACAGGCTTATTCCAGAAGTACTTGACAAATAATCCATAGGGTTTGGAATCTGTCAATAGCCATGTTCATGAATTTCCCTGTACATAAGCATCCCTAGTAGCTGAGAATCAAAGCTCACGCACTATTTAAAACAGGGCTTTTGCTCTTGCTAACTTTTTGTTCCCATCCTCATGGCATTAAGCTCCAAAACTGACAAAGGAGAAGAGGACTTTGGTGAACAGAGGGAAAATCCTAAACCCACTTGCAATCTGTTTTTCACTGCAGCTTGCTAGCTAAGCTGCGTGGCTCCTCCATCTATACACAATATAATAATATATGATTAAAAATAATTGAAGTCAAACATCTCTGACCCCATTGCGAAATTTGCTTAGCTGGAAGATGTGAGAGCAAAGCAAATTAAGGACCCACTTCTTTGATTACCATCTTTGTCTTCTAACTATGATTTTTTATTTTTTATTTTTTATTTTTATTTATTGTTTTGCAAGTACTTATAATATTATTTTATGTGGCTGGAAAGTGGGAGTCCTTTTATTTAAATCTGGCTAGCTTGCAATAAGCTCGAGTCCAAGTAATTCAACATCAACGGACCAATTATCTCTAACCTGTCAAAAACAAGTACAATTTTGGGAAAAATTATACCGACCGACCTCCCCCAAATTATTAACGATGTGATGGAATCGAACTCCTAATCTAACTTAATTCGAATATTGTATGACGTGTCTCGTAATTCATCTCAATTATTGTACTGAAAATTTTAATAAAACTTACTAGCAAGCTAGCTAGGAACATAAAATAAGCACGTACTTTTTGCATCCCGTATATTTTTTAGGGATTGCGATGCAAATATTGGTTGCAGTTTGCTTCACAAAATGAGCATCCATCTGCATCAGAATTACAAATTGATTGGGTATTGATCTGTCACACGTGCACTTAAATTCGAAAGTTGACCGATGATTATCTAAGGAATTGATTGGGTATCCCAAAACCCAGCTTAAGCATTTGGTGTGCTCGTTCATACCTGCAATTTCCATGTTACCCACATTTTTTTATTTAAATTAAGATTTTAATCTCCCAAAGAATGTTGCAGAGTTGGAGGGGTTGATAATGTTCACATTAACAATCAGTAAATAGATAGATTAATGTAGCTTCCAATTAGGGACTTCATCACTAACTTCGACGTAATTAATAGTGAATAGAATATACTGTTTCCATTAAACACATACTTCATTTGCTTTATAAGTCAAATCACTCAACTAATCATTCTTGATTATTATTAATTAATTATATACATGATCATCGTACATAGATTTGTGTGTATCGTGATTCACGTTAAGCCAGGGTTAGCATAGTAAAGATGGGTAATTAATAATATCCCGTGGTACATGCTTCCATGAAACCTTCGTATGCGCTCAAAATTTGACCGTGCATGTGTCCCTTGATTTTATTATTCAACATGCAGTCATTGCATGATAATTAACTTTGTTTTAAACACAAATTAATATTGACCCTCAAACTTCACTTATATCACGTTTAAAGTCTTGGTCAACCGATGTGTGCATCTTACAAAACATCTTATATTTGCAAATATCAGTTAGGTCAGATTTTTGTACTTAAATTCGAGTTCTCATTTTCGTAAATTAGGTTAGGTCAAAGTAACGTATACTATCGATTGTGTACTTGTACAAGTAGAGATCAAAATTAATAAGGAGGTAGACGAATCTGTGGCCCATATACATCACGAACCCATGACAAGTCCTGCATGTACTTAAAACACACACGATGGACATTCACTCATCCAGATACTTCCACGTATAAATATAAATATTATATAAATTCGAATTTGTTTATATTATTAGGCTTTCATTTATTTACATATGTATAGCTGGTGTGATGAATCCAATGCATGCACCCTTTTGACGGTGGTTGGGATGATTTGATGGTATATATTCTGGGCACCATATCTTTCGAAAAGGCACCCCTCCCTGATACTGTTATTTCAAATATATTTGAATGTTTTCTTTTTCTTTTTCAATCCCATGCCCTTTCGTCAAGTCTTGTTTGTATTGCCAATTTGCAACTAACCAATCGGATTTTGGGGCCTATCATATCATGTCGGAGTCGGACAACAACGTTCCAGAGAACTCTCCCACCCAGTTTTAATGGAATGTTGGCATCACTCTCTCTCTTTTTCTAACTAAATTTTGAGTAGTGTGTTCGCCCATCAAGCTCCATAATTCATGTGATCGCATAACGACTTAATCGACTGAGATCAATATTGATCGCAATCATAAAACGGTTTATGGCACGTGATTAATTTAAATTGTATCATTCTTTATTTGAATATTTTTTAAATGGTTTATGGCACTTGATTAATCACAATCATTAAGGTCTAAACCTCTATGATTGCATCTCCAACTAATCACCATGCAATTGCATATTATTTAATGAGATATCCAAATTATTAGTTTTTTTTTTTGAGAAATTGACAGAACGAGGAAAATTTTATTAATAAAACGAAGAATTACAACGAGAAGGACAACACACCTGATCCCGACTCAACAAATCACATAATAGGATGTCCTAAATAAGATCAGAGGACACTGCGAACCAAATAAAACTGTCTACATTATGTAGACTACATCCAACAATTCAGCATGCAACTAAATTATTAAGTAGTTCATAGGTCCTGATCCTTGGGTACAATTAATTTAATTAGCTCTTTTGGTCCCCCATTTTTTGGGGACCTCAAGGTTTATGTCACATTGACTTCACGGCTGCTTGTCAATTTTATCTATGCATGTCTTTTTCTTTTTTTTTGGTCCCAATCAATCCAAGTTTATTCAAAATCCAAAATGGTAAGGAAATAAACAAAGAATACAAGAGCTTAAAAGACTAAATACCGGAGCAAAGTACCACAAACACAATGTTTAGGATAGATTCTTTATAAAGTACTTCTGCGCATAAGCGCTTTTATTATAAAAATCTTGAATTTTCATAAAAAATTTAGGAAGCACTTCCAAGTGTTTTTTTAGGAGAAGCACATAGCATGTCCTTCTTCCAAAATATGCTTTTATAACCCATAAAGCACTTCTAAATTTTTCTGTCAAACACTATCAGAAAACGCTTTTAACATTTCCAAAAACACTTCCAAACAAACCTTTAGACTAAAACCAACACACAACCTAATATAATAATATTCCCCATTACACAATCAAAACACAAAACCACCCTCATATAAAAGTACCATGTATTTGGAAAAGCTACTCTTTATTAATTAGCTTATTTTAATTCTCTTATGGGAAGATTTAAAAAGATCCATTATCTGAAACGTGTCATCCCGTAATTAGGTCTGATGGTTTACGTGTTTGATGTGCAACTCTCCACTGAAGCTGCAGACAAAGCTAAGCTATTAATTCGAGCGATGGATGCTGGCTACTTGTCTGAGGCTGACGGATAGCAACATTACCATGATTGTGTTTGTGCTCAAAGTCAAGTTATAAGGTGACATTCCTTGATCGTATTATGCTTAGATGGACTCGCATCTAGAATCTAGAGGAAGAAAGCTTTATCTGTTGTCAATCGATTATATTTAACATGACGTTGGAACAAAATACCTACGTAGAATGCCCCCGATACTTTTATATGCTTTCACGTCATTCAATATGATATGCATGTTTATTTAGTTGTATATAAAGACGTAATTATGATGCACTTAAACCTTGTTTGTAGTAAACTAAATCAGATATTTGCTCTAATGATTAGTGTATTATGTGTCAATATTTTTGTCCAGTAGACTTTTGCCGACGATGTGTCACGCTGCATGTCATCATTTAGAGCAACCTTTTCAAGATTATAATATATTATTAGTTACATGGGCAAAATCAGTATGGTATGATATGAGTGATCACGACAATGAGAAGGAACAAAAAGAGAGCATGAGGAATATAATCGAGTGGCATCTTATAATAATAATAGTAATCCAAAATCAGATATAATTACCTCTGCTTAGTTGTCATATTTCTATAGATCTTTGCTTGTCACTTAGCTGTCTTTCCAGTGGAATTAAACCAGCAAATGAAGGAAAATGCAACACGAGTGCATGATGAGATCAATCAAGAAGATATAAAGGTTAGAATTTGAGTTTGATCGCTCTTTCTCTTTCTCTTCTCTTTCTAGTTTCTAATCAACCGAACAAAAAACAAAAAGCTCATAAGATCATCAGATGATGGGCTTGTTAGTTTGATGATTACCTCGTATATTTTGATACTAAACTAATTAACTACGTCTAGTTGGTCCCATGATCGATGCTGCACTTGGGCACTTCTTCCTTCTCAATGTCTTGTCGTTTCGAACCTTTGGCCCACCTCAATATGGACTGAAACATCTAAATCCTGTTTCCAAGTTAGCTTAATCATTAGCTTCTAATAAGTTTTACTGTAAAATTAACCCCAAAATGGTAACTACTATAGGATGATAACAGCTGTCTCCCCACATCATTGTGGGTTAATTTGACTTTCACATCCATCTTTCTATTTGTCAGAGTAATACAGTGGACTTAAAACATGAGCATTCAACTAAAAACTAGCAAGTAACGAGTGAAAGAGGACCAAAATCTTTTAAACTTCAGATTTTTATCTCTTACATGAAGTATTCTCGATGTGACTTGAGGATGGAGGAGGAGAAACACTGCCTAAAACACTCTTGAAATCACGACGTGATCAAGTATGATCCACCAAAAAGAGAATGATATATACATCCCGTGACATGTAAATATTTCTCAAAAGGAGATGGTGCGTTTAGAAATTTGGTTTTGAATGGTAGTTTAGAAGTAGTGCAGCATATTTACAAGTGGCAACCATTGGCTGTGTTTGTGACAATTGACATGAACGCATGGCACGTATACGACATGTCAATATATAAAAGTCAGATAACCATATCGACAAAGAAGTACAACTAGCGGCTTCGTCTGTACAAAAAGCAATCACATGGTATATTGTATTGACACGTATTAGTATATATGTGTTTGACCCCTTAAAAGAAATGTACATGTAGAAGAGGTATTAATAAGTAGACTTAGACGCATTCTCTCTTTGTGTTTGGTCATAAATTAAGCAACGACTCGTGCACGATGACATTATGCACCGTCGGCATCGGAGCCATGTTGGGTGGACTGTGGCGGTGGTGGTGGTCCTGTGGTGGGTGCATGACACAGCCAATCCGTTGATGCCGATGGTGGTGCAAATTAGTACAGTTATATAATTTTAATGAATTAAAATTAAAGTAGTCACAAACTGGCCCGTTAACAACGACTGTCGGCATTCCCAAAGTCCCTGAACGAGTGAATGTGCACATCTCTGTTTGTCATTTGGACCAGTCAAAGCTCCATCCCTGCCTTAACATTTCACAGGGACTTTTCAGTTCTGATTTCCCACCTCCCCTCATGGCCACCTGAGCCTGAAAGCGAGACTGTCTTGACTCTTGGACAATAAGAGTGAAGTACTGTTCTGTCTGTTGCGGATTGCACCGTCACATGGCATTTGTTATTACATCCTCTGGTGGTCCGGGCGGCTCCTACGCAAGAGTCAATGAGAGGAAAATGGTCAATGGATCCTTCGGATGCACTAACGGGTCCCACTTCATCCTTTAGTTTGTTTCGATTATTTTCTTTTACAGCTTTGTCGTCGAAGATAGCAGCTGTCAGAAAATAATTACCGAAAGTATGGCTTCTTTCAGCTGAGCCGAGCGAGGAGGACCAAACCGAAGGCAGCGACAAATTGACAAAGAAACATTAAAAGGAGCAGCTTTTCGGATTCGTATGGTTTTTTGGCGTTTTGGCCTTTTGGGATGCACCAAATCCCATCTTTTTTATCTGTCCTTTTTTATTTATTGAGTGGGGTATTGGGCCTGCAAATGGTATTATGACTTATGGGCTTTGGTGGATGAATATGTGTGCCCATTTTAGTCACTTATGCTATACCTACGTAACACGTTTTACTTGAGGGCATAATTACTTGCCGAAAATCTTATCATTTTTTGTATTATTTGATTCCTTGTCACAAAACTTGATGATATTGTTAGTAGAAATCGGAAAAAATGTGGGACCATTGTAGGGATGTGAGAGAATTCACTACTAAATCACAAGTTATCGATTGGAAAACTATCTCACATTGCGCATTCATGGGGGCGGAACTACATACAAGGCTATGCTGGGCTATAGCCCAGATAACTTTTTGAAGAATTTTTTTCAAACCTATTGTAGCTCATGTAAGGTTTTTGAAGAAAAATAAAATTAAACCTATAAAACCCATCAACTTACCGTTTCAATTGTGGTTAGGGACCTTCTTTTGTGGTCTTTTTGGTGGTTTTCCAGTATTCATATAAAGATATCTTTTTAGACAACAAAAGAAGTAAATAAACTCAATAATAGGGAAATATTATTTTTCTAAAGTCTGTTTTGTGGTCTACTTGGCGGTTTCCTCATTGTTCTCGTGTTAACCTTTTGTTGCATTTAATTTGTATTTGTTATATGTTAAATCTATTGGAAATTAGTTCATAGGGTTATGAACTAGCGTGGTTTATATAATTTAATGCATACTTTTATTTCAAGAAAATATATAGGAAATTGTAAGTTGAAAAAATAGCATTAGGTTTGAACCTAAAAAGTTTAACTAGCCTACCTGTTAAAAAATTCCTAATTCCGCCTTTGCATACGTAAGAGAATTTCTTATGTTTGTAATTGGAACTATAATAATGAGGACGAAGACCATGACGAAGGTACGTAATAGTAGAAAGTGAGACATAATAATGAAAGATGCAAAGCACCGCCCTTTGTCTACTTTTTGGCGTAGACATGTTTATCAAATTTTCTTTTATTCTTTTCCTCTTGCTGTCCTTACTGAATAACCAGGCAATGATGAGAAAACATACTGATGAAGGAAAGAAAAAGAAAGATCTCTGCCTTTTTATTTATTTATATAATGTATATGATATGTATCTTTGTTGAATAGAAAGGCAATATGTCTGGTGGAGGAAATAAAAATGTGGGAAATGTTTCTCTATTATCATCCATTGGTAGTACGAAAGGTCAGGTCTGCAACAAATAGATCATACCAAATCTATCTTGTTTCCTAATGGAAAAATGATGCTGACAGCGTAACAAAATGTTCCATTGGTCAGGCTACTTGCTTGGTGGTGGCAGTAGCCATCTTCGATAGCAAAGTTAAATTTGAGACTTACAACTCTGTGCCAAAAGGAAGAGAGAAACAAAATGTGAGTGGACATTTGCTAAAAAAATCAAAGTCTTTGGTGACAAAAGGAGTGATCATTTTTCTTTCTTTTACGCTATCATAACATATCATATCATTATTGTTTTTTAACGTACATAAATTATATAATAATAATGATATGCATCAACAATTGATAATCGTCCCGGACGAAGAGAGCGGAGCACACTTCTAAATTGCTTTTTCATTGTGGAACTAGACTTTTGAACTTTTTTCACTGGTTGGGATAGGTGCAACCACCTTCTGAAAAGTGAAAAAGGAGGGAAGGGGGGAGGCAGGTGCTTCCTCTTTTCTTCTGGGCCGGGCTCTAAAGGTGGTGATGGGTTGACCCACCCACCATGGCGATAAATGGACCCAATAGCTTTTTGGTCAAGATTTCTAAATTATTGTCTAGGAAGGATAAAAAGATCAAAGCTACGTACAAGATTCTGCCGACTACATACATACAATACAGGTTACATGAACCAATAGGAGTCTGCCGACCTACATACAGATTCCGATGAAAACTACGTGGCAGGAGCCGTCAGATCAATGCAGTCACATCTCGCTGACCTTTATTGGGTAGATAACCGGTCGCATTCAAAGTTTGACCCGGCTGTAACCACACGTGGCAGTAAAAAGTGGGGCGGTGTTGTGCCCTTACGGTGAGGAGCAGCGAAGGGACCTCAGGATTTGCGGCGTCGACAGTCGCACGCTGGAAGGAATTCAACGCTCAACTCCACGTGTGGTCTAAACTCTTCTTCCCCCACCAACTGTTTGATAAAATGCGCCCAAATCAAACAATAATCACATCAACAATATTTCCCAAATCTGGTCTCTACGAATATCAGATCATGAAGCATCCATGTGAAGTTAAGAAATTCCGTGCAATCGAGCTCACATGCACATGGAGCTTGGCATTCTTCGTTTCCATGTCCCATAAGAAAAGACCCCTTTGAACAATGTCTGATAGTCTCATCATGGTTGGCCTATCTTCATTAATCTAAAATACAAAAGTTAAAAGAAACTTTTGTCTAAATCTTTTTTAAAAAGTATTTCTTAAGTCTCACTCCCTCGTTGGGCCAAAGCCAAATAAATGACTTGGCTGCAGGTTCGATTTGGGTGATTAGGTTAATTTTGAGATAAGTGATGCCAAGAATATTGTGCGAGAGATTGTTGGCTGTTGATACAAGTGATTTCATAACAAATCAATGACTAAGAGCTACTTATGCTTACATGGGCGACTGTTGCTAACAATCTCTTTCCGAATATGCAAGGTTAGGTGTTGCTCCTACTCTTGAGGTTGCCTGCCTTAGTATGGCAGGTTGAGCCTTGCTATAAGGCGACCTTTAATGATCTTCTGACCAAGTCATTCTATAGTGAGGACCTTATATATGACCCTTATGTGAGACTATATCTCTTAACTGTTGGATTAAATTGATTAGCCGTTGGATCAAATTGGTTAGCATGATTCAACAATTAAAAGATAAGGCATCACCTAAGGGCCATAAATACAGCCCTCACTATAGAATGACTCAGCTGCTTGTGTATGGGCTCTTGTGCACTCTCCCTTTGGTGCTGTTTAAATTGGGCTCAACGGCACTTAGAATTAGATCAACTGGATCTTGGCCCTATTTAGTTAGGCTTCAGTGCAGAGCCTACCAGGAAAGAAACATCCATCCCTGCCAGATATGGACATATGATCCACATTAAGTTCTTTACTTTCGTTCTGCCAGAGCCTTTTTATTACCAGCAGTTCTTGCAGGAGCAATGCCCATCAATAAAATGATGAAATCTTTTTGAATCTCTTAAGATGATGAGCCGTCCAGTAGCTTGAGACACAAGCTTCATAAACTCATGGCAATCACCACAAACACGAATGTTCTTTATAATTCTTATTGGTATCCTTCCATGAGGTTTTTTGGTTAAACCAAATGCAAGAGCAAGTTTCTCACTGTGATAACAGATGGACTCAAATTTCTCCTCCTCCCCAACGTCATGAAGAACCAGTTTTGTGTCAGGAGTAAACCCAGTTTCCTGCAGTTTCCTAATCAGTGTGTTCAGCTCTTCATATATTTCTTTTGCTTCGGGATGAATTCGATCTTCTGATGCAAATTTGTGAACCTCGTTATCAATCTCAATCCAACTGTAAGCAGCAAACTTCTTAACATTCCTGTCCTTCATGAGAGACCTCATGTCTGCCACATCTTTCCATCTTCCACAAGTAGCATACATGTTGGAAAGCATGATGTAAGGTCCCGCACTGAGTGGCTCCAATTCAAAGAGATGTCTAGCTGCCATCTCCCCGTGTTCGATATCGCCTGTCATTGCGCAAACAGATAGAAGAGTGGACCAAATCAAGCTATTCGGTTCATGGGGCATACTTCTGATAAGATCTACTGCTTTGTTTATGTAACCTGAATGACCAAGGAGACAGACCATACAGGCATAATGATCCATAGTGGGTTCCATACCACTTCGTTCACTAATTGAATCAAAATACTTCTGTCCTCGTTCAATCAAATTAGCATGGACACAAGCTGATAAAACACCTATGAAAGTAACATTATTTGGAACTATGTTTTCTTGTAACATGTTCTCATAGAGGGCCAAGGCCTCTAGATCTTTCCCATTTTGTGCATAACCTGTAATCATCGCGTTCCAAGAAACCACATTCCGAAATGGCATTAGTGTGAAAACCACCCAAGCATCTGCAGTAACTCCACATTTGCAATACATATCAACAAGCGCACTAGACACGAGCAATTGATCAGCAACTCCCATATGAACTGCTTTTCCATGAACAACCTGGCCATAATACAAAGATGATAATTTGGCGCACGAACTAACTACACTCGAGATGGTAAAACTATCAGGTCTGACATTTTCCAATAGCATCTCACCAAACAATATCAGAGCATCCTCTTCTCTGCCATTCTGTGCATAACCAACTATCATTGTTGTCCAACAAATCTTATCCTTCTCCCTAATCTCATCAAATACCTTCCTTGCTTTGACTATATTGCCGCTCTGAAAGTAAGCACGGAGAATATTTGACACCGTAACCTGGTCAGGCTTCAACCCTGACGATTGCATTTCATGAAACAAATCAATGCATTTCTCAGGCTGCCCATTTTTCAAGTAACCGGAAATTATCAAGTTCCAAGACACCGCATTCTTGCCAACCAACCAGTCAAACAACCAACGAGCCCGATCAATGTCACCACATTTGGCATACATATCGATCAACGCATTCCAAAGAAAAACATTCCCTTCCATATTACCTACAACTACTCTCCCATGAATTTGCTTCCCAAGCCTAAAACCCAGCAACCTGGTGCTCGCTTTTAACACGCTCACAAATGTATGCTCTGACGGCTCAAACCCTTCCTCTTGCATTTTAACAAAAACCTCAAACGCCTTGCCCCAACACCCATTTGCCGTCGCACCAGCAATCACGGTATTGTAGGAGACCAAATCGCGAGAAGGCATCTGATCAAAGATTGTCCGCAACTCCTCAACAGACCCAGATTTTGCATAAGCAGAAAGCATGGCGTTACATGAGTAAACGTCTTTCTTGGGCATTTTGTCAAACAGGTCTTGAGCGTCACCAAGGTTCCCGGATTTGGCATAGAGCTGGAGGATCCTATTTTGGAGGAAAGTCTTGGTGGGCTGAAACAAGTGAAGGTCCATGTGAGATTGCAGTCTCTTTGCTTGGGAAACATCGTCGGCTCGTACGCATTCGAGCACGAGCCGCGTGTAGGTCTCAGCGGTGGCGCAGCCGCGAGAGTACAACAAGTCTACGGCGTCGCGAAGCTGACGCCTAGCTTTCATATTTCCCGTTTGAATTTGAATTACAGTTTTCCGTTATATGGGCCTCGGCCTTCCCCACGTCTCAAACTACGTGGCGGCAAAAATCGGATAAAAAAAGAGTAGAGGACCCACACAGATGAAAGTGAAGCTACTTTAGGTTCATGCCTTTGGGCCCGAAGAGGCCCATGTCTTCAGGCCCATTTTCCAACTCCCAAACAAGAAATGAGCTCATCTAGTGAACAGCCCAGAACTTGATGAAACGACGACGTCTTGTCATATTAACCTTGCGCCCGCTCTGAATCGTCGTCTAGGGCGCTGAATGGTGTTCTGTTCTCGTTGATCGCATGGAAAAAGCCCTGTTAAACTCTGCGGTAATTCTTATTGATCATATTTTGCGAAATTAATTTTCAATAGTTTTTGCGGTCCTAGATTATCTGCGCTTCGATTTTGTATTCGCTAATTGCTAGGTTTTGTTCATATACTTCAATCTGATTGTTAAATTATTTAGAAATTTAATTCAATGGTGTTGAATTTTGGATATTAGAATTGGATAAGCATAGTAATGTTGTTTGGTGCCTGTAATTTACGGTTCATGTTTGGAAGAAAAACTAAAGTACAACACTTTGGCTCTTGCTGTGTTTGGTTTGGTCCTATAGAAGGATAGAAAAAATAAGTTGGGAATGTTGGTCCTGTGAACAACAAAAAATTAGCAAAGTATCAGTCCTTTAATTTTGAAAATTGGGAATGTTGTTCCCAATTTCAAGATTTGGATCACCTTTTTTCAATTTCATTAGCATGATCATGTAGTTATTGATAGTTTTCAGATGACCTCTGGGATCTGGTATGGATAATGTAGTTTCAAAATGTTTGATGAAACCAACAAGTGATTCCTAGGATAGTTTTCAGATGGCATCTGGGCTCTGTTGTATATGGTTTCTTTCCTTGACTTGGTGAAGGTCTATTTGGCATCACCATATCAGCATAACTGCTGTAAAAAAAAAAAAACTTCGAAGAACACAAACGCTAGCATTGCAGCTGAGAAAACGTAAATTTAAGTTCTGCACATGTTTTATCCTTTACATCTTGAGGCTTTTCTTACTATGTTTGCTTGATTCATGCGATGCAAATGAGCTGCCATACGTGGATCGTTTTCATTTTGTACCTTCATAACAATCTGCCTCTGTGTTTTTCATCTCATTCTTTGTTAGTGTGTATCGGTTACTCGTTTGTTGTATTTGGCACAATATGGAATTCGGTACATTATGGTGTGCTTCTGAGGATCATTTCTATGCCCATTGCGATTTATGACATTAGTCTGCGTTTGATGATTCGATGTTTGATTTCACCACACTGGTTTTCTTGTGTAGTTGGAATGTTTCAGATTGCTCTGGAGTCACCATGGTGCGTTCTTGTTTTATTGCTGTTTTCTGAGGTGGAAATCTGCTTGAAGCAAAGTTTTTCATATCTTTACGCTATCTTTCATAAAAATAAAACATGAAGAAAAAACAATATTTTGAGCAAAAAATTTGACAATGTATATAACTATGGACCATATGAGAAATGGTTTTCTTTTCCAAACAAGCGGAGAAACTTAAAATTGAGTTTCTGAATGAACAAACGCTGCCAGAATGGTGAAAGGGGAAGATTTAATTTTTTTCAACTTTTAGCTGCGGTTTCTGGCTTGTTGATAAAACAATTATTTTCGGCGGTTAGCGACGAAATAAAACGTCGCTAAAGATGGTTAACCAAATTGAGACCCTAAAGTCGTCACTAAAGGCCTGGAAAACGCCGCCAAATGTCGCAAAATGTGGAAAATCGTCATTTAAACAAAATAAAGCTACTTTTCTGCTGAATTAAGTGTTTCTCCTTCTGTATTTGGATGTTGATTTAATTTCCTTCCTTCAAATACTACAGGCAATCTATTAAACCAAGTAGAATATACTTTATTTATCATTTGTTCAATATTAATTTATATCTACAATTGGGACGGAGCATTGTTCTTCTAAGTTATAAAATAACTTGTAAACCTTGATATCCTCCAAGTAATATGATTGATTTTATGTTCATATACTTAAGACTTGACTATTTCTTAATTCCTTAGCTATGCTAAGTTCTAAAGACTTGAGTTTAGTCTTGAAGCCATTGTCTTCTGGAGGAGGAAATTCAGCTGGGCTCCGACGCGTAATCAACGCCGTGAGTGTTCATCCACATGACCACTTATTCATTGGTTGACAAGTGATGGCAATGTCTTAACAAATACAATTACACAAACAAATACTAATACATTGATATGAAAAAGAAGGCCGTTCTTCTATTGACGTGCAGAGGTGTTCCAAATGGAAAAAAATGCTCCCATTGCCAATACGATAAAGCCAGGCAAATGCCAGTGCAGGCCTGCCTCAGACTCAGAGTCAGAGAGATGGCATTCACTTTCAGAGTTGGACTTGTCCCTTGTGGGAACAATATTTAAGATAGCATACAAGTTTGATTGTTTACTAATTTCGTATAATAATAATATGGGTCGGGAAATTATGCATAAAACCCGTTAGAAATAAATTTATTTTTATCCTATGTAAATATTTCCTCTATTTTTTAGCTTTTTTTTTACTCTACTTTTGGAGTTTTGGTAGATTTGAAGCAGTGCTTGTGAGATCAGCAGAGCAATTTATTTGACCCGTGACCTCCCAACTAACAAGCAAATTGGTGTCAATCCATAAGGTTGAAGAGTTCAATAGAAAAGGCGTTGGTAGGTTATATTCCATTTTCTTTGCTTCATAAGTGAGATATCATATGGGAATTAGGTGGGTTGGAATTGGATGGAAAGGGACATTAAAAGCATTCACCTTTGTTGGCTGAGCTAACCTAACTATAGAGCAGCATGCATCATCATCAAAGCAGACCAGACGTTCATTTCTGCACTTTTGTTTTTGTTTTTATAATTTTTTCTTCCCTGGTTGCCACCATTTTGGTCAGGGATAGGACAATTACCAGACTTATTTTAAGCTTTGCAAGGACAAAAAACCTAATAAACTAGAACAACCTGGAAGTTTGGAAGTGGTAACAGGTTAGGGAAACAACATGGTACCACCCAGTGGCATGTCCCCAATCTTGGGTTTCTGTGGGCTCAACTTTAAACATAAACTACCAAGAAAAAAAGGGTCGTCCAAAGTGACTGTTATTTCTTTCCCTTTTTTTTGGCTGGCTTGGATAAAGAAGCAAATTTGGAGAAATATAAAAAGCAATATAAAGTTCAAGTAAGAGGCTTCTTGTTGTACAAAATCGATTAAATTAATGAAGGCATTGGAAGCCAAGCAAGGTAGCAAACGGATAAGAAGAAGGCTGAAATGGATGGTAACAAAGAGACCCATCGTCATGTTCATGATTCATTAATTTTATATTGTTTATACACACCAGAAAGAAAGAAAACGTCTTTTTCATCCATCTCAGATTCTCTGAAAAAAAAACAAAAACATGAAAACACAAGAAAAACAAGTAAATTCCAATTCCTACGCGCCCAGACTCTTTGACTCAGTGTGCCTTCTCCTGCTTAAAACAAGTTGAAAATTCCCATACAAGTCTGGCATACATATATTAAGACCAAATCTAACTCCCTCCCTTCAATTGTTAGTGTTTTTGTTTTCAAAGACTTAAGCTTTTTTCTCTCCTCCAAAAGAAGTAGAGACCACACCCAACCCTCCTTCTTCCCCTTTCATAATTCAATTCAAAATCAAACCCATTAAAACTCTCTCTGTCTAATCACACGCAGACGCATAGCTTTTCTTGTTTGATTTCTTCTATTTGTACCATAAAGCAAAAGAGCACATCACTATCTGCAAAAAATTCTCTCTCTCTCTCTCTCTCTCTGTATGTGTGCGTGAAATTCAGTACCTTTTTCGATGTCACTCTACACCATCATGGCTTCCTTCAAAGTCAAGCAAGAATAACAGAAAACGAAGGCCCTACAGAGCAGGACCATCACTAACCCACAAAGCCTTTTCCTTTCCCCCATACGCGCAAACCCAAAATGGCTCAGATTCTCAGAGACAGAGTATTTGGAAATTCAAAAAGACACAGCCAACGCCATAATCCAATCCAAACCACCATGCCCGTATACCCAGTTGAAGACCTCCCCAACCCATTTGGCGAACTGGGTCCGAACCTCTCCGACTCGGAGCTCCGAGAAACCGTCTACGAGATCTTAGTCGGAGCCTGCCGGAGCTCTGGAGCCAAACCGCTTACTTACATCCCGCAGTCCGAGAAGACCGACCGGACTACTCTGACTTCGTTGCCATCATCGCTTCAGAGGTCGACGTCATCGGCGGCGAGCCGGGTCAAGAAGGCTCTGGGTTTGAAGCAAACGGCATCGTCTAGGAGGAGACTCGGTGATGGTGATTCAGTGAGTCAGGGGAAGACTAAGCGGTCTGGGACGGTTTGGGAGCTTATGAGGGTTCAGATGAGGGTTTCGGAGCAGACTGATACCAGGGTCAGGAGAGCCCTTTTAAGGGTTGCTGCTGGTCAGGTTTGTGAATTGTGATGTGAAACACTCTGTTTTTTTAATTGTGCTGCTGGTTTGTATTTTATGGATGCTGCTTGTGCTTGGTTTCTCAGAAAATAATAGAATAGGAAGGAAATTGAAGTTCTGAATGATAGGGAAGTCAGCTTTTGAGGGGTAGCAGAAATTAAAGAGGAAATGAATTGTAAATGTTTATTGATTACTATTCTGATGTTTAGTGGTGAAGGAATCAAATTTTGGTTTTATTTCTTTGATCACTTCTTAATCATTGTGAATTTTGGCATTTCCAGACATTTTTATTTCTTAGTTAGTTATGCCTGGATTATGTTTACTGTTTCTCAAAGTCTCAAATTTTGTTAGCCTGAATAGAGGACAAGGATATGAGTTGAATGCGTGGTTTTGGCTGTTTGTGTTTTCTAAATCAAGCTTAGTGAATTGTTGGTCTTTGTTTCTTTGTATTAGCTTGGAAAGCGTATAGAGTGCATGGTTTTGCCGCTGGAGCTACTACAGCAGTTCAAGTCTTCAGATTTTCCCAGTCAGCAAGAATATGAAGCCTGGCAGAGGAGAAATTTGAAGGTTCTTGAAGCAGGGCTTCTTTTATATCCTTCTTTGCCTTTAGATAAGAAAGACACTGCTCCTCAACAGCTCCAGAAGATTATTCGTGGGGCCTTAGAGAAACCCATAGAAACTGGAAAGCACAATGAGTCGATGCAAGTTCTCCGCAGTGTTGTTATGTCTCTTGCTTGCAGATCATTTGATGGTTCTGTTTCTGACACATGCCACTGGGCAGATGGATTTCCGTTGAACCTTAGGCTCTACCAAATGCTCCTAGAATCATGTTTTGACCCGAATGAAGAAACTTCTGTTATTGAAGAGCTTGATGAGGTTTTAGACCTCATAAAGAAGACCTGGCCAGTCCTCGGAATAAACCAAATTCTGCATAATCTTTGTTTCTCATGGGTTTTATTTCATCGTTATATTACAACTGGCCAAGTGGATAATGACCTGCTGTTTGCATCCAGTAACCTGTTAGAGGAAGTTGAACAAGATGCCAGTGGCACAAAAGATCCATCTTATTTGAAGATCTTAAGTTCAACATTGAGTTCAATATTGGGTTGGGCTGAGAAAAGGCTTCTTGCCTACCGTGATATTTTCCACAGTGGCAATATTGAATCAATGCAAAACGTTCTCTCCCTGGGGTTATTGTCAGCAAAAATATTGATAGAAGATATTTCTCACGACTACCGTAGGAAGAGGAAAGGAGTTAATGTGGCTCATGACAGGGTTGATGCTTACATAAGATCATCAATGCGCTCTGCTTTTGCACAGGCAAGTTCCCATATTATTTTTTTGCTGTGATTAATGAAGAGGCTGTAAATAATGTGTTTTGTGCTAGGAAATATTCTGTTTATGTCTGTTGCTTATAGAGGATTTTTTGGAAAATCAAGGTGGTGAACTTTACCTATATAAATTTTAATAATTTTTGTTCCCAGTTCATACTTATATTACCAACCTGGCTTTCTGTTTTGGCTATAAAATATACTTATCAAGTTTTGAATGTTGTATTAAGGCAGAAACTGGAAAAGTTAGGTTCCAGCAAGCGTTTGTCAAAGAGCCAAAACAATCTTATTCCTGGCCTTTCTGCCCTTGCACAAGATGTTAGTGAACTGGCGTTTAGTGAGAAGGGGATATTTGGTCCAGTATTGAAGAGATGGCACCCTTTTGCAACAGGCGTTGCTGTGGCCACACTGCATTCTTGTTATGGAAATGAGCTGAAGCAATTTGTGACGGGTATCAGTGAGTTGACTCCAGATACCATACAAGTGCTGAGAGCTGCTGACAAATTGGAAAAGGATCTTGTGCAGATTGCCGTTGAAGATTCAGTGGATAGTGAGGATGGTGGGAAATCCATCATAAGGGAGATGCCTCCTTATGAGGCTGAAGCTGTAATTGCCAATCTGGTAAAGGCTTGGATAAGGACAAGAGTGGACAGGCTGAAGGAATGGGTTGACAGAAATCTGCAACAAGAGGTACATATTTTCTGTTTCAACAAACAAAGGGTTAACGATCAACAGATACAAGTGTCTGTGCTTGCAGTTTCTCTAATGCAGAGGTCACTAGACTTAAGTGGACAAAGTCATAGTTTTGACCAAGGCCATTTAGTTCTTATGAAAGAAAATATGAAAATTCAAATCCACTGTTCTAACGTGAAACTTATTCCTTTACTAGTTTCATGATCTGACTTGTTAACTTTCTTTCTACAGGTATGGAATCCAAGGGCAAACAAAGAGCGATTTGCTCCTTCTGCCATTGAAGTTTTACGCATTATAGATGAAACATTGGAAGCATTCTTTATGTTGCCAATGCCTATACATCCTGTCTTGGTTCCAGAACTGATGACTGGCCTTGACAGATGTCTTCAACACTATATCTCAAAGGCCAAGTCTGGCTGTGGTATGTACATTTCATAGCTAGCACTGGTGTGGTGAATTTTTTTAAGTTTTCAATCTCCAAAATGACCACCAATTCTCCTTTGTTATCTGTGCAGGGACCAGAAGTACTTTCATTCCCACTTTACCTGCTTTGACCAGATGTTCAGCTGGATCAAAATTTCATGGTGTATTCAAGAAGAAGGAAAGGTCACATATAAGTCAGAGAAGGAAATCTCAAGTTGGAACTACAAATGGGGACAGCTCCTTTGGAATTCCACAACTTTGTGTTCGCATTAATACTTTGCAGCTTATTCGAATGGAGTTGGGAGTTTTTGAGAAAAGGATAATGGCCCATCTAGGGAACTCTGAATCCACTCAAGGGGACAATATTGCAAATGGAACAGGCAAAATGTTTGAGCTTTCAGCATCTGCTTCTGTAGAAGGGATCCAACAACTTTGTGAAGCAACAGCATACAAGGTCATTTTCCATGACCTAAGTCATGTTCTTTGGGATGGCTTGTATGTTGTGGATGTTTCGTCTTCTAGAATTGAGCTATTTCTTCAGGAACTTGAGCAATATTTGGAGATTATTTCATCAACAGTGCACGACAGAGTTAGAACGCGTGTAATTACTGATGTGATGAAAGCTTCTTTCGATGGGTTCTTGTTGGTTTTGCTAGCTGGAGGCCCTTCTCGCACTTTCACACAAAAAGATTCTGACATAATAGAGGAGGATTTTAAGTTTCTGACCGATTTATTCTGGTCGAATGGGGATGGATTGCCCGCAGATTTGATAGATAAGTTATCAACCACTGTTAAAGGCATCCTTCCTTTGTACCGTGCTGATACCAATACCCTTATTGAACAGTTCAAACGTGCGACTCTGGATGGCTCTCCTGCTAAATCCCGGATGCCAATGCCTCCAACTTCAGGTCAGTGGAACTCCAATGAACCAAACACACTTCTGCGTGTCTTGTGTTGTCGAAATGACGAGACCGCAGCAAAGTTTCTTAAGAAGACTTATAACTTGCCTAAGAAGCTGTAACAACCTTTGGTTTGTGAAAGATTCATTTACGAAGGATAGACAGCATCATCCATCACAAAGCTCTGATATCATGTTTTTGACTAAACAGCTGTTTAATTTGAGGGTAGAACATTGACATGTATAGTATATTTATCGGTCCGCATTCTTGTTGTTCAGAGCTTTCATCAGTCTGAGAAAGGAACTTCAAGGGAGCAGAGGATTAATAAGGCTTTATAGTGCTCAAGGGTTGAGCAAATATTTATTTATTTATTACTATTCTTTCTCGGATTTATCGAATGTGTTGAGGTGGGTCGGCTTCTCCGTTTATTTAATCGTACTATATTGGCGGCACCGGCACAGCATAACGGACAAACTGCAAGATGCAAAGAAAACCATAACAATATCTTTTCATAGTGTAGGAGGTAGTTGTGAGTGAGTGATATGGGTTGCATTTTGGAGAAATCTTAGCGGATTTTGTTGTATTTTGGACGTGTACAGCGAGGGGTTCTTTTCTTCTTTTCTGCGTGTACGTTAATATTTCATATTTGGAACAAATTTTTATTTTCCTATGCCACAAAGACAGGTGTTTTTTCAAGCTTAAATGGTTAAGGGCGTTTATCCCTGTATGTCCGACCTAATATAGAGTGGACAATTCTGGTTTTGAGTAATTTGTTTTTTATTGAAGAATTAGGATTTCTTAGGTTATAAGGTATATACGCATATATACGAGTATTCTTCTTCACCAAATTGAAACGTGAAACCTAAATAATCCTTTAAATTATTTGGAGAAAAAGCGAAGTTACAACTCTAGCTGTTCTAGGTTGGAGGTTCTCACATAATAATATAACACCATCCAATCATGGCGCCAGGGTCGGTTCAAATATTGCAGAGCATTCTTTCACCTAAACAGTGTATTAAAAAGATTATACTGCAAAAGAGTATACAAGACAAAGATCATATCAGAAGCGACTACAAAATCTTTGACTGATCGTCATTTGCATTTCGTAAGAAATAATCAACTAAAACTATGCTTCCTCGCTCAATCCACTCTCTGGAGGCCCTCGCATTCCTTCGTATATTATATCAAATTACAGATAACTGACCACAAATCTCTCCCTAATTCCAACACTTAACTTTCAGTGCCAAGGATTCTTTCGTGTGCTACTTCTTTTTGTGCTGCTACTTGATGAACTTGATTTCTGCCAAGAAAAAAACCCGTTTACCACAACAGTATTTCCTCAGTCTACAGAATATTGAGGAAGAGTGAGATTATACGTACCGATTTTGACTTCTTTGTCTTTCCGCGGATCCTGTTCCTTGGTGGTTTTAGTTTGTAAATCCGAACCATCCAATGGTGGGTTGTGAATACCTAAATTACAGAAATATATTGTGAAAGGTATAATAATATGTTCCATAGCTTCCACATATCTGAAACTAAAAGTTTGGATCATCTGACCTCTTCAAAATGGGTGAGTTTGAAATATTTCTTTCCAATCTCTGTTCGCCTCACCCTATCAAAGCCTTTACCATCGGTGTCCACAAACCTGTAGGTAAAAGAAGACAAGATACACAATTTTACTCACAGCCAGAACCCCCCCAAAAAAAAAAAAAGAAAAATAAGAAAACAAATGTATGAACCTGTAATAAGTAAGAAGTTTGTACATTTGATGAGTAATTGAGAATTGGTTGGGGTGGCCTGAGAGTCAATCCGATACTGCCCATCCCTCTTTAGACAGGAAAACAAGGTAAAACATGGTAATGACACAACATTAACACTATTATAACAAGAAAACTTTCACATCCAGTTAGTTAGCCCAAAAATGGGAAATGAAAAGAATGAAAGAAATCAGGGAAGGAAATAACTAACCAAGTAATCGGGTTCCTTGATATGAGGGAATACACCCCCTCCGATACGGACCATCCACAGGAACTTATTAATATCATCACTGGGGTAGCCAACAAGACCTGATAAGTGAGATTATTAATCAGAATAAGGCTTTACTTTCTTTCGTAAGAAGATCTGAGCATGCCAAAGGGAGCCAACCTCCAAAAACAACAAGAACATATTTTACGTCCAACGAGTTAAAAATTTCCCAAGCCGCCTTTTCCGGAGAAGACATGGCAGTACCGACAGTTGCAATATGTGTGTTGTTCCATGTATTATTGTCAACAATGACAGTACGGTTAGCCATGGCAGTAGTTTGGTACCCATAATCCCACCAAGATGCAACCTGCAAGTAGTTTATAGCATAAAGGAATATTTGTTAATATCTTCATTTGGCAAAGGACGCGGTTTTAGTCTGTCAAAAATTAAATTGAGTTGATATAATATAGGGAAAAACAAAAGGTGAAGAACTCACTTTATCATCCACCTCAGTGTTGTGGCTTAACCATGCATAAGCCTCTCTAAAATCATCAAAAACATGGAGACCATCATTTGAATAAGATGTTAGAACAATAGATGGGGCAGAATAAGCTTCAGCTGCTGCCCAGACACAATGAACCTACAAAACAATGATAACTCAACTTCAGTGGCCATCTTTTTATCAAGCAAAATGAAATTAGAGGAAATGGAAGGACAAAGTCTCTTCTGAATATGGACATGATAACCTCTTTTTGATATTGACTGCATGGCTTCCTGTTTTAAATAAGTTTTCACTAAGAGGAGACGCATATTTATTTTCCACAGGTCCTCTATTAACTTGATTATCCATCCATTCACATTGTTAAAGTTGATTAGAAGTATATACTTGCCCTTCAAATTGATTAAGGTTCAAAGGATGTAAAAGTTCAAGCACCATAACATACACGTGCATACAGAACTCATGTATATCAGAATCAGAACCGAGATGTGGAGGAAAACATAGAAAATAGGGAAAGAAGAAAATTTATATACCACATAGAAGGCTCCAAGCAACACAAGTAGAAAAATAGCAAGAACAGATCCCTCAAATGGTAAAACCAGAAGTCTCTTTTCAATTTGAGATTTAATGGAAGGCTTTTCAACTGGTTCCTTTTCCTTCTTCCTGTTCTTTCTTGAGGGTCTCTCCTTCAATGTGTCTCCACTTTTATCTGTCTTTGGCACTTCAGTCTGCGGTACAGTGCTCTCAGAACTGGTATCCCCAGCCTTAACGGTCAAAAAGACAAAATTAATCCCTCAATAATCTATAAAAAGGCTGGACAGATGTAAAACAATGGAAAGAAATACGCTTACATCAACTTCAGAAAATCCTGGTAAACCAGGTAACTGAAACTTGATTGATCGTGTGAAAACATCAAAAGCTTCAGAAAGAGCAATCCCAGACATGATGCAGGCTGCTGGAGCAAGTACTAGCATAAGCCGCACCTGTGATATTAGTGAAAAACAATATTAAAATGGATTAACATAAAAGCTGGAAGAAAGGCAAATTAAACTTAGCTATGCCAATAAAAGTTTTTACCATGACTCCAGAGAAATATACTGAAGTTACAATGTAAAGGATCACAAAGGAGCTTGCATCTGATAAGGGTGAAAAGCAAGCCTACCAACAGATATAAACAATACAAACAGTGGTTAGGAACATGGAAAAATAGGAAATAAAAAACAAAATAAAGTAACTCAGGAAATAAAAAGCAAACCATGGTTGAAGGAATCTTACAATAATGCCAGCTGGAACCAAGAATGCCAACACATTAATGTCCATGAAGTAAGAGGGCCAAGTAGGAGGTTGATGCTCACTAACACTAGCAATAATCGGTATGTACTTGCTTGCATAAGTTCTGAAATGAAAAAAAAAACATATAAACATATAGAAGTTCGTTTATTTCTCAGCTAGGCAGAACAAATATTTCAAGTAATTCAAGAGAAGTTAAAGAATGCAAACAAGTCAAATGGTTTCCAACATCTCAGAGTTGGGAAGCAGCTGGTGTTGGGGAGGCAGAATGGGGGTGCCATTCTAAACGAGCAATACTATAGACAACCAAAAAAAATTCCAAATTTTAGATCCTAAGTGATGTGACAATGATTTATTTATTCATATTTGGTCCCATTTACATTTTCATGTGAAACCCATTAATTTTAGTGAATAAGGTATTCCCAATAAATTTTTCTAAATTACTTTGGTATCCAAAATTCGGGATCTATTTCGGTGCTTGTAGTATTGTGCAATGTGCAGTCTAAAAGAATTAGCTTGTCACATTAGGTCCTCTAGATAACATTATTGGACCAACGCCAGAAATTTGGACAATTTAGGCACCAGGTGCTCCAAATTCAGTTGTAACCATAATGGAAATGTCTGTTTTTGGTCATGTTAGTTCAATCAGAAAACCAAAGGTTGTCAAACAAAGAAGAGACGTAAGAACTGAATTATGTACTTACGGATCAAGTAGACTAAGGCTTCGCCCACTCCATCCCTTTGTTGGGCTTGATGCCACCAAAGCTACAAGTACTGCTATCACAGCAATACATACTATCCTGAAAAATAAGTAACATGGGAGGCATAGAGATCAATTGTGTGTTCAATGTGAGAGATCCTTAATACAGTTAGAAAACAGAACAGGTGAAACATACAGGCCAATGGATAGAACAAGCGTAACAGCCACTTTGAACATTTTTGGAGAGAGAATCCCTTTGATATAGTACACAAAAGCGACCACATGTATAATAATAAAAACCTGCAACAAAAAACAATGTTGTCAGGCATATAAAAGTAACATGAGACAATTAAGTTGATGAGAAAATAAAGTTGGGAAATGCTCACCAAGAAGGATGCAAAATGTTCTGATGTCATGACAGCATTAAATCCAACTACCGGCACCAAAGCAGCTAACAATGTTCCCAACACAACCTGCATTAGAAAAGTTAAGATTTTAACACGAACCAATAAATGCCATTGAAGAAGTGCAAGAATGTCAATATGCATTCTTCAATTTGTTTTCAATCACGGATAGCTTCATAAGTAATGCAGATACTTACAAGAGGAGCATATGCAATGTATAGACGAGAAGAGTAGCGACCCGTTACAATGCAGAGAAGCACATGCATTGGAATAAGGTTAATAATAAATGTGTAGCCTCCCCAAGAGCAAACCTGAAAGGATGAAACAAAATGAAAGTGGAAATAAGAATATATAAGGTTACAAGGGCACAAGCAACATTAGTACATATACTTACCATGTAAAAGTATGCTATGGCATTAAGAGTTGCATAAAAGAGGGATCCTGTATTCAGTGTCTGCATATAACGCATAATGTAGTCAGAAAATATTGACGCACATTATAGAGAACTCCTGTATTATATGCCAATGGTATAACCATGGGCAAAAGAAAATATCCAGAAGGTGATACTATTCAACGGTCAACAGAATCAGATCATTCTTTGAAAACAACCATGTTCTGAGATGTTAATGAAACACCCAAAAGAATGAAATAAAGTTGTCTTTTCCCAAATCTAACCTTTATATAAAGATAGAAAGTGAAGATCAAAGCAAAAATAGCCACGGCTTCATTGTCATAGCTTCCAGCCACTGAGCGAGAAATATATGATGGGACCTACAAACAAAAACAAAAAAAGGGCACAGATAAACCTTTGTGCTTACCACTTCCATATGTTGTAGAGTTAAAAGTACCCGCTCTATAACTTACCATGGCTATAAGAGCTGCAGCTGTTAGTCCAGCACCAGCACCCTTAACTTCCTGAAGAAAGAGGCAACTGAACATCATCAACATATTGGAGGCCAATAACTAAAATGTAGAAAATAATTAAGGCTGAATACAAACCCGAGTCAGAAGGTAAGTTGCCCATGATGTGAAAGCAGAGAATATAGGCGCAGTAAATACACAAATAGTTTCCACAGAAAGAGGAATGTTTAATGAATTCAACAACCTGATAAGAGAGCAATATCAAAATCAACAACATCAAACTCAGTAGTTAAAAATCAAAAGAAAAGAATATTCTAACATTTCAATTATAAATTGCAATACTCACCACCATAGGGTTCCTGCTGTCAAGGTCAATCCAGGGTAAACAGTTCCACCAATCACACGACCAAGAGGATACCTTATAACGTCAGTTTAAGAAATATTAACTTTATATTGCTGAATTATGTAAACCACCGAAAAAAAATCAAAACAAGAACCCTGCCATGAGGTTTGATAAGCCACAAAAAGTAGAAATTACCAGGTTCGATCATCAAACCAGTTCCAAAAATCGTATATTCCATTCTTTGTCAGAAACTGAAACCAACAAACAAGGATTTCATCTTGTATATAGCTTCCCATCATCGTAATATAATAAGATGAATCGATGCATACTCTGATCATAAATTTCAAATTTCCAAATACATTTAACCCAACAGCAATGGCATGAGATTGAGTTAGAATTATACTATCTAAGTGCAAGACAAGTGAAAACCAATCTAAAATGAGACAAAGAAACCAAACCTGAGTGACTCTGTAATTGAAATAAGGATCAAACTCGTGAATTACACTCTCGTATTTTATGACCTGTAGATCAATAGACAAAGCAACATTAAAGTGAGTACTAACACACAGTTTCAGTCCTTTTGATTGCTGAGAAATGTAATTATGAATGATAATTCAATGTTATGAAAATTAGAACTAAAATTTTTACAGAATAATCTAAAGTCAAACTTATTACAGAAACACCATTTGGTTCGGTAGAGTTATAAGTTATAACAGAAAATATGGAAGTCTAAATTTGAATAAAATGTATCTATATGCACATGAGTATATATATATACATGTAACTTTGATTAGTTATGCATTTTCCTGAATTATCGAGGCTGCCAAGTGACCAGCACTGGGTTTTAAGATTAAAAAACGATTGGATCTAGAAAATTGAAGAAATTATATTGATCGTAGAGCTCACAGAGAAGAGACGGATCGAAAATGCGAGAACACCGATCAGGATGAGGATGAAGAAGGAGAGGACATTTCCAAAAGCATGCCTCAAGGATGTGCCATTGGAGGTCTCCGAGGCCGCCATTGACGGCCAAATCGATCTCCGAGCTTTCGAAAGAGAGAGAAAGATGGAGGAGACTGAGGTCTGATGAAGGGTTTTGCGGGCAGTGACTACGAAGTGGGAGAGAAGACTTTGTAACACTATACAGAGAGAGAAAGAGTGAGACAAGTTGAGTTTTTGGAACTACAAAACTACCACTGAAATGTCTATGGAATCACGTAAATGCCCTTCTACATTTATACGTGGCTTTTTGTTTATAGTTGCAAGGAGCAAACCTCGTGATTGGTTTCGCGCTACGCAAACTGTCACGTGGCGTGATATGATACGAGGAGGCAGGCCTAACGGTGAGTCTGTCAACCCGTCAAATGGGATGGGCTGAAAACGAGTCTTCCTTTGAAAAAAAAAAAGTAAAATAAAATCTGATGGGCTAGACTAATTAATTATCACAAAACTTTACCACAAAGCAAAAATAAATGGGCATTTCTAAATACAACCTTCAAATTTGCTATAGACACCTAGTTGTGCATGACACCCTATACTTTGTTTTTAATTATTATGAAATTTTCTTGCTACACTATACCTATAAAATTTACTATTGAAAAGAATGCAAACTTAACCTTTAAGTTTCATGTTCTATTTTTTTGAACGTAGAAAAATGAATAAATTGGAAAAGGAAGTGAAGGTAGGCAAGCCACCATGGTGGTCGGAGACCTCGTCGGCCTCTATATTTACTTCCATTTCTTCCTTCAGCATGCATGAAACCATAATAAGCGATAGAGACCGTCTCTTTCGCTCCCTATTTTCTCTAAATTTTAAATTTGAGCTTAAATTTCTCAAAAAATTTATAAGTACTTTGTTTTTAAAGATGGTAAGATTTTTTAGTCACTTTCTAAAAGGATAACTTGTAGGGAAAAAAAATGTTCCGTTGCGAGCAAATTCACTTTTCGGTAGGCTTGCCCTGGGCCTTGAGACCATTCTCTGGGCTCAACTAACAGATGGCCCATAGTGTTTTTGGTCTTTTTGGTTTGGGAATGACAGATGCCCCGAAGAATTTGGCGGTTACTCTTTTTTGGTTCCTCCGTTTTGAATAGGGATTCCTTGTCCCAATATAAGAAGGAAAACTTCATCCTTCAATATAAACGTAAGCCAAGCCAAAGCTATGTGTCCCATTGTCCCGTTCGATCGCTTTGCTTAATTTTTCTTCAATATTCGAAAGTTTTGCTTCATTTGTTCTTTTGCACTCTGTTTAATTTGAATAGTTTGGGGTTGAAAGAGCTCATCAACCATGACGGCTTTGAAAGGGCTTCTTCCACCTCCGGCAGCAACCACAACGGCTTCTTACGACCACTCGAATGATCAGTGGTTCAAGCAGCGCTTCGGTTCTCCTGGGGCACAAAGATCTGCTGCTGTCGTCAAGCCAAAGCCTGTACCTCCTTACTTGAAGCGTCAAGGCTTTGTTCCTAGGAAGGTGGAGGAGTTTGGGGATGGGGGTGCTTTCCCTGAGATTCATATAGCTCAGTACCCTCTTGGCATGGGCAGGGACAAGTTGTCCAAACCCGGTACGAACATACTTCCGGTTACAGTTAATGCCAGGGGGAATGTCAGGTATGATGCCATTGTTAAGCAGAACGAGAACTCGAAAAAACTTGTCTACTCACAGCACAAGGATCTTGTGCCGAAAATTTTGAAGAATGAGGATGAGGAGATGGATGATGCGAATGAGAAAGAGATTGAAGAAACAACAGCAGAAACAAAAGCTGCGCTTGAGAAGATTGTGAATGCGAGATTGAGCACTGCACAGCCGAAAAATATAGCCAAGCAGTCGACTGGCTCGGAAATTATCAAGTACACGCCATCGCAGAAGGCAGCGGCGTTTAACTCTGGTGCCAAGGCGAGGATTATCAGGATGGCGGAGATGCCTGTGGACCCACTTGAGCCTCCTAAGTTCAAGCATAAGCGTGTTCCGAGGCCTTCTGGGTCCCCGCCCGTGCCGGTCATGCATTCCCCGCCACGGCCGGTGACTGTGAAAGACCTGAAGGATTGGAAGATTCCACCTTGTATTTCAATTTGGAAGAATCAGAAAGGGTATACGATCCCACTGGACAAACGTCTTGCAGCTGAGGGGAAAGTCCTTCAAGATCTTGGTGGTCTGTTTCTTGATAATTACGCAAAGCTTCAAGAGGCTTTGTATGTAGCAGAGCAGAAGGCTAGAGAGGGAATTGCTATGAGAAAAAAAGTTCAGGAGGAAATGTTGACGAAGGAGAAGGAAAAGAAAGAGCAGGACTTGAGGATATTAGCTCAGAGGGCTCGTTCCGAGAGAATAGGTGCTGCAGCCCCTCCTTCAATGCCTTCTAACAGAACAGCAATGGACAATGATGCGAGAGGGGATTATGAGCGTCCAACAAGCGTAAAAGAGACTGATTATCCGAAGGAGACTAGAGAGGAAAGAGAAGGGAGGTTGAAGCGGGAGAAGATCCGTGAGGAGCGACGAAGAGAAAGGGAAAGGGAGAGAAGGTTGGAGCCCAAAGATGCACCAATGGGGAAGAAAAGTAAAATTACAAGAGATCGAGATCGGGATATCAGTGAGAAAGTTGCCCTCGGCATGGCTTCTGATGGAGCAAGCAGAGGGGGAGAGGTTATGTACGACCAGAGGCTGTTCAACCAGGAGAAAGGAATGGAATCTGGGTTTGCCACTGATGACCAGTACAACGTTTATGACAAGGGCTTGTCCACTGCTCCGCCTACGCTCTCAACCTTGTACAGGCCTAAGAAGGATGTTGATAATGAAATGTACGGAACTGCTGATGAGCAGTTCGATAAGGTTAAGAAAACCGATCGCTTCAAACCTGACAAAGGATTTGGAGGAGCTGCTGAGAGGGCAGGTCCAAGAGGGCGACCGGTCGAGTTTGAGAAAGATGCTGCTGAAGAAGCCGATCCATTTGGTCTGGATCGGTTCTTGACAGAGGTGAAACAGAGCGCGAAAGCCACGGAAAAGGTTGGAACAGGAGGGACAATGAGAGCAAGTGCAGGGTCTTCTATGCGAGATGGCTACCAAGGGGGCTCCAGCAGAACCCGTATTGGATTCGAAAGGGGTCGCTAAGCTCTTGATCCTCTTTTCTTTATTTATTTTTGAGTTATCCGACCGATGGTATTTGACTGGCTAATCGTGAATGATCATACTTCTTTTTGTTAGATGATAAATTTTTAGAATTGCATCTGTTTAATTTTTATTTATTATCCCTGCTTCTTACCTTTTTTTCCTTATTGCAGTTTCTCACCCATACAAAGCTCAACCATTCGTCGAAAATCTGACAAAATTTATACTTACATTCACTGGCTGGGAATGATGTTCCTGTGCAAAGGAAGCTGTCGTAAGGCAGTAAAGCGATTGACGCATCTTCTCAACATCCAAAACTGACACAATCAACATGTCATATATGAATGGATTAAAAAGTTCAAACATTACCTGCCACATAAAATTAGCAAGAAAGAGGAAAAGGAAAACCGGGTGATCTAAATAACAGAGAACTTCATAATACAACACTGAAAATTCGTTTTAAAATCATCAAGTGAGTTCTTGAGCCATCCATGATTTTGCAGTTTATCATTATTTCGTAGCACCTGCCCCTTTGAGATAGGGCGTCCCTAATTAGTATCCCGAATGAATTGGTATCCCAAACCACAGGTTTGCCTGCAAACAACATCCATGAATTAGAACTCGAAAAATAAGTCATTTTGAGAAGACACTCACTACTATAATCACGGGGAATAAAACAAAATAGTTGAGAAAGAATACCTACATTGCAGTTATGGATTTCCAGTGCTCACATGAAAATTATGTTGACAGAGCTGAAGCCATGGAAACCTTTAAGCAAATATATGACAATCAATTTGCTGTATATTTGGGAAGATTTGTCTCAAGGCAGCAGCATAGTTTGGAGATTTCGCCTGGAATAGGAGATGCAAGAATCAATATATAGAAAATCTTAAAAGCAAATGAAATACATCTGCCAACATACTTAAGGAAAAATTATCAACACAATACAAAAAGGAGGATGCACAACTAATCAATCATATATTTATATGTAAAAGAGTATTTGCCAATCTTCTTTGCCACCTAAAAATCTGCTTTCAATATTCTTTGACCATATACCAGTTCATAGAAACAGAGTACCTTCGTCCTGCCTTCATCGTACTACTGGACATGAAACCCTAGAAGATATAAGCATGTATATGTCAGATAATGCATGCTTACGGAATCTCATAGCCACTATTTTTCCTTTTCTTTACCAGACATTGGACTTTCAACAAACAATCAGAATATTGCTACTGCATTTCACCACTATACTTATGTGAGCAAAGCATTAGAGTTGCATGAACTCTAACATACCACCTTGCACATTTCTGAACACACTAATTTTAACTTCCTTAAACTGCAGCTAAGCATGCTGAAAGAATAAAATACTAGAACTTTAAATATTCTAGGTCCTTCAGGTTGCAGATAACCATACACATGGATTATTCTCGAGATAGATGGTAGTGATCTTCTCTCTTGAACCAGCAACAACCTCAGAAATGCCTTCAACTGAGTCTATGCTGTTGTCATTAAGCCACAGGTCTTCTAACCTATACACAAGAATCCCATTAAAGGTAGAATCAAATATGAAAGACAAAACAACATCAAACGAACAGTGACTACGAGGTAAAACACGTACATTGTTAGGTTTTCAATGCCATTCACTGACGTTAGCTTATTGTTTGATACATCCAAGATATGCAGGTTGACTAAGGTTGAGAGGCCTTCCATTTTTGAAATACCATTATGGCTCAAGTACAATTCCTCTAGAGCAACACACTCCTGGAAAAGAGGCGGGGAGTGAGTTTCAATATTTATACAACCAATCCATTAGAGAGTTTGTCTCAAAGAAACAACAGTGGACCGGCCACCCCGTACCTCGAATCCAGTCATAGAAGTTAAGCGATTGCTTTGTAAGCTAATCTTCTTGATGCATTTCAGCCCACACAAATTCACTATCTTAATTCGATTCCGCCCAAGCCACAGCTCTTGTAAATGTGTCATGTTCTGCAAATTCTCCATCACCTGATTTGGCATTTCAGCATACAATCATAACAAGGTGGATGACAGTTGCTACACTATCAATACAGCCATGTACATAATTTCAAATGCTCCTTGAAACTTTTCTGTTAAGAAAACTAACCCGTAATCTGTTGGAACCAAGCTCAAGAATTAGAAGCTCATGGAGGTGGTCAATCTCTTCAATCTTGGCAACTTCATTTTTGGAAACATAGAGCTCCTTGAGTTTGCTGGAGACCTTGGACAATCCATGTAACGACGTAATCTCGTTGAAAGAAACATCGAAAACCAAAAGCTTGATGAATATGGTAACATCGGGTATTTTCGTTAGCTTATTATCCCTCAGCACCAACTCCTGCAGGCCATATCAACTGTTAATTTTCCCGGGAACCAAACAAGCCGCCAAGAAAATCACCTTTTAATTTCATTAAAAAAGAAAACAAAGTACCTCGAGACCGGACAGAGCGTCCCAACGAGAGATCGGCTCAACGGCGGCGTCTTCAATGAGGTTTTGGCGGAGAGAGAGTTTCTTAAGGCTCGAGAGGGTTGCAATCCGAGTGTCCAAGCTGGTGAGGCGGTTCGCCGTCACGTCTAACTCGGTTAGACTCGGTGGTAACTCGATCGAGTCCAGATCGTGGAGTTGGAAGCTGGTGAGATCGAGGACCGTCGAGGAAGGATCTTCCTCCATTGTCGGATCATCGTAGCCTTCCGAATTCGGAGCCGGTGGCGGTGCTCCGGTCTGGTCGTCCATTGAAGTGGAAGGTGTTCACGAGGTAGCGTTTTGCGTTTGTTTTTGTTTTAGGCTTTTGTTTCCTACCCATTTTCTTTTTCTTCTAAGGCCGGGTTAAGGTATCACCCCAGCTTTTGGGCCGTTCATATGGGCCGGACCAATTGAACATATTTAACCTTTTGTTTTCACTTTTCGGGCCGTATGGTATCTTCTTTTATTAACGGGAAGATTTAAAATTAGGACCTTATTCGATTTAAAAAATAAAAATATCACTAAATAAAGAGTTTTTGACAAATATAAGATATTTATAATATATTTTCACAATAGATTCATACACTCACAATAAGGTTAGTCACAAATGTAAATCGTTATGGTCATTTATATGAGTCAAACATGAGACATCATCTAACTAAGTAGAGACAAATACCACTAGACTAAAGGCTAGTTAGTCATTAAACAAAGAGTTAGTTGTTCAAATTTATATTTTTATCATGTAGAGTATAGTTAGGGAATCATAAATGATGAGATAGAAATTGGTTTAATCTACCCGAATTCAAGATCGTAATGCTAGAAATGATAAAGATAGAGAAATCATCAAAATAGGAAGTTTACAAAATGAAGCTCGCCAAAATGAAGATCGAAAAAAGTGGATTGTAATTTAATATAAGTTAACTACTTAAAATCCAAATTGGTGATTCAATGACGATCAAACAAATAGAATAAACACAGTATCCGATTAATCTTATACATGAAACAAAATAAATTTTTGTTTTGTTTTGTTGGTCTTCTTGCTCCTAACCGTTGCAGCCTTATCGTATTTTTCTTTATTTTTGTCAATGGAGTTAATGCGTCATATAAAAATCCAATTTTGTTTTGTGGTACGTGATTTTAAACCAAAAATAAAAAATAAAAATAAATGTCACCTGACGCGTGATTTGAAATGGGAGATCACACGTGCCGCCCTGATTTTGAAACCCAAAACCAAAACCAAAACCCCTCTCCATCTCTCTCTCTCTCTCTCCCTCTCACCAAATCAAAGCAGCCATGGAAGCCATACTCAGAGACTGTGTTCAGCACAGTCTTCGCGATTTCATGTACCGAAACGCCATTTTCCTCTGCGAAAGACTCTGTGCTGAGTACCCATCCGAGGTACCTTTTCTCCACCTACTCTTTACTCTTTTTCTTTTATTGCCTGTTTGTTTGGTTACCGAGAAATCCCAGGAAAGGAAAAACGAAGATGGAAAATTCGAAATGGAATTTTCTCTTCTGCTAGTGCTTCACGGCGACCCTGGGGAACATTACCGCCTTTATCATCATGATCGATGCTTCGTGTTACTTAACCAACGAATTCGTTAAGATTTTACTTATACGGTTATACCTGAGTAATTCAGTGTTCTGTATTTGAAATATAGGGTTTTAGGGGTTTAGAATCTCTCGAACATTTATATTTACCCAGGGTTCACATTATTCTTTTTCTGGAATAAAATGTTTTTCTTTGAGGATAAGTAATTATGTAGTTGAATTAGTTATTTGCTTTGCTATTAGCTTTAAATTATTGGAGCTCTGGACTGCGAATTGTTTTTGGTAATATTCTTTTTGCAATGACGCATGAAGCTGTGGGTATTTTGAAAATGGGGTTTCTTAATGTGGTTTACTTTCCACAGTGCCACTTTTTTGATAGAATTAATCAGATTGGTTATGCCACTTTCGAAAGTTGACAGAAAATGTATCCGTTCTAAAATGTAGAACTGTCTGTTGGAAGAAGTTGTGTTGGTGACCTTTTTATTTTCTCGTTGAATGGGTAGCGCTGTTTTTTCAGTTTGTTAATTGTTTATGGACTCATTGACAAGTTGTTCCATTGCAGACAAATTTACAATTGTTAGCTGGCTGTTACTTGCAAAGCAATCAAGCTTATGCTGCTTATCATATTTTAAAGGGTAGGCAATGTCATAGTTCATATATTTTTTGAGTATATTTTTATTTTTGTAGTTTCTTTCTTTCTTTTTAATTAAGGTTTTTATTTAGTGTTTCTCATCACATGGACCTCTCCTCTTCTTTCTGTTGATTTTTATGAAGGAACACAAGTGGCTCAATCCCGCTACTTGTTTGCAATATCATGCTTTCAGATGGATCTTCTTAGTGAAGCAGAAGCAGCATTATGTCCTGTTAATGAGCCTAGTGCAGAGGTATCAGAATCAAATTGTTTGGAGCATTATGTCTAAATCAAAATTTACAATGTCACTTGTTGAAGTCTTACTTCATATAACACAATGTTCTTCAGGGTTTCATTGTTTTCTACTGGAATTGAATGAATATACCCTTTAGACATTATCATGCGATCGAAACAGCAGATGACTTGCTCTTAATTATTTTTGCAGGTTCCAAACGGTGCAGCTGGTCATTACCTTCTGGGGCTTATTTACAGGTTTGTCTTCTTTCTTCTGGAGCTTCTGCGGATGTAGCCAAAGGCATATCTACTTTATAAGTTTCTTGAAAGGGACTTTCTTGCTAAACTTACTTTCTAAAGGACCACTATATTGGGATCCATCTCAGTAAGATGTCAGGCAAAAGAGCATTCCAGTACAAGATGTATCTTGACAGAATCCTATGATTTTATGAAGCTGTACTCAATTGTGAGAGGTGAACAGTAGTGGTAGTGTTGTTGTACCTCCTAGAAATATCTTTTGGGGTATCATAGGCTTGCATGTAGTTCGTCCTAGTAATGTCAGGTAAACTTTAGGTGGTGCTTGTGAAATTCTTCAGATTCGTGTCCTCTTCTAAGTTGTTCCTCCGTCTCTCTGGTTGCATGTCTCTTGGGATAGAATAGAGGACTTTGCTGTGTTGTATTAACTTAGGTTTGTTACCATTCTATGGAATTTGTAGCTTATCATCCTGCAACTACTTCATTATCTCTGTTTTTTTGCATCTTATAGTTGCCTGGATTGTATGATCATGTCAATTTTCTGTTCTTCTATAACATTATATGCATATGATGCATGCCTCTCATGATATTATTGTTTATAATTGGTTTTGTTCTAGGTATACTGATAGAAGGAAAAGTGCCATCCATCACTTCAAACAGGCTTTGACTGTAGATCCTTCTATGTGGGCTGCATATGAAGAACTGTGCGTGCTAGGTCTGGACAATGTTACACACATGACTTCATATTCTTTTTAGTGCAGCACTTTTGCGTTAATCATTATGCCTCTTTGTCTAACAACTGATCATTTTGCTAAGATATCAATCTGGATGCATGTAACCATTTACCCTGAAATGGGAAAATTCTAGCTGGATATTTATCCTAAAGTCAAGCCTTCGCTTGATTTGCAAGTTGGAGAATAAGTGAAGGCTTCTCTTTCAATACATATTTAAGTTAAGGCTTTGTATTTCCATTGTTCCAGGTTCCGCTGAAGAAGCAGCTGTAGTTTTTGGTGAAGCTGCTTCTCTTTCCATACAAAAGCAGTATCTACATCATGGATTAGCTTCACAAAGTTTACTTACCTTAAATGAGGACTGTAATTTAGTTTCTGGTAGGAACTTTAGCTCGGAAGATGTTAGTCAGAGACAATTCAAGCACATGCAAGGAAATAACATAAGAGATGTGTCTGGAAATTCTCATGTTATTTTGGGAGGAGCTTCTGGTCAGCCTGTGAATGGCAGTTCTAGCCTATCTTTCTATAACACTCCTTCACCAATGCCCATGCAGGTATATATAAGTTATCTCCTCCACTTTTGTTCTAGTAGTCCTGCATTTATTGCTGTATCTCTTTCCTTTCTTCCGCTGCCCAATATTCCTCTTGGTTTTGAATAATATGATATCTGTTTTGGTTTGCAATTATGGGTGAAGACCTCTTCAATTAGGTTTTGTTTTGAAAGAAATCATTTGGTAATTTACTCTTAAGTTTGTGTCATTATTCTAAAGTAGACCATCTGATGTAGGATAGGTGCAAATATTGCCTACAAATGGATATGCGATGGGCTTTAGGATTTATAAAGTTGTGGCTTAAGGACTTAGGGTTGTAAGAGAAGAATTATGGTTTAGGGTTTAGGGTTGTAAGAGAAGAATTATAAATTTGAAAATCCGATTCCGCTGGCTACTGTTATGTATAAAACACCTGTGTCTCTAAAATTAAGGTCTCAAACTTAAAAAATTCAATGCTAGAGTGTTTAGGGCATAATCACTCAGTTATGTAAGACTTAGTTGTACCAGAAATAAAACATTGAAACTGGTATTTGTCAAAACAAAAATATACACACAAAAATCAGCTAAATCCTTTTCTTTTTGTGTCACCATTGCTCTTACTGCCCCTGTTTGCAGTTGTCAGGTGTTGCTCCACCAGCTCTGTGTAGAATGGTACAGCCAAATGGCCCAAATATGAGCACAGGTACTGATAGCTCTCCGAGGTCAACTGTAAACTCTACCATTCAAGCCCCTAGAAGAAAGTTTGTTGATGAAGGAAAACTGCGGAAGGTACAGGGCCACTTATCCATAATTTAAATAAACTTGCTTTCTATTGATATAATTCTTCATGCCACTGTCGCTAACATAAATTAATTATCTAAGTGTATGTAAGGTAGTTCATTGTTGTGTAAATTGCATGTGCCTTTACACTTTTTTTCTTCAGATTTGTGGACCATGCTTATGAACTGAACTGAACATGGAATTTGTTGTGAAACTGCTGATTTCTGCGGCCTGTTGGTTTTCTTGGAGGGAAATTTATGCATGGAGAGTCTTATTTCTTTTAACACACATGTTATCATGATATTCAATCTAATGTCTTTGACTCAATCTGACTTCTTCAAAGTTTGCATAAGGGCTGTTGTGTAAGTTTGCCCTTTGGGACCATTTTGCTGTTTATCGTTGTTTGTTAGCACTTACTCAGTAGTTCCAAACTTTTATGCCTTCCTTGTTTTAGAGGTTTAATGTGGGCTTACGCTGAGGTTATTTATTTGTTGTTGCTGTTGCCTTTGGTTCATTGATTTGGTTGCATTATTGTAGTTTTATATTTCCATCGTGGAT